AAACAAGTTGAAGAGATGTATAACTGTACTAAGGTAAAGCTGAACTGAGATGTATCGTTCTCCACTATTGCACTGGCTGAAACCCACCAGCTCACCAAGGCCCTGTGCTGGCAAAGCTGGGGCATCTTTTGTGCTGCTGGTGGGAGCAGAGAGAGGCACAAACCCCACAGAGAGAAGCAAAACATCACAAGTGCAGTTTACCCATTTGCGATGCTTTCAGGAATTCATCTTACGGATACAGAAGTGCACACACAAACACACACATGCAAATGGTTATCAGTAGAAGGCTGGAACCAACTATATGGTAGGGAGTGGGGGTAGCTAACTCTGCAGCCAGAAACAGAATGAAAAGTCCGTATGTAACAACACAGACAGAAGTCAATGCTGCACTTTTACACCGTGAAAGCGAAGGACAAAACAGCACATGTAGTGTGCTACTGTCGTGTACAGAGAACCACAGATCTGCGTCTGCCTGTGTGTGAGGAATGACAGGTGACACACGGCTGCCTGCTGGATGCATCCTGCCACCAGGGTGGGGACCTGCTGGGGGCACAGCAGGAAGGATGTAAGGCATTCTGACTTTCAAACTTAATATGTCACCTTTTCAAAAGCTGAAGTTAAAAAAAAACAAAAAGAAAATTAACAAAATGTTAACTGTGATCATCCCTGGATATAGGATTATAGATGACTTTTACTTTATATTTTTCTAAATTTTCTAAATGTTTATAATGAACATGCATTGTTGGTAAAAATCAGAAAAAATATTTAAAATTTTTTTAAAGAAAGAAATGATCCTGTATAAAACGTCGCTGCTCACACCCCACTGGGTCACAGACACTGGAGCTCACCTGCCCTGCTCTCAGGTCAGGCCCACCTCAAGGAGAATCCACAGGGAGCAAGGAGTCCGCCAGGAGGGAGTGAAGCCCCAAGAAGGCCCCAGCAGGGGCACTGACCTGAACACACGGTAAAGGAGAATGCAGGAAAACAGGAGAACTGGAAGGAGGGAAAGAAGGCTGGAAGAAGCAGAAAGAGGCCCAGGGTAGCAGGGGAGGCCCAGAAGGAAAGGCCATGCCAATACCGAGGAGAAAGACCTGCACTAGACATGCTGTCTGCCCCTCAATGTTCCTGGTGCTATGTGGTACCCTCCGCTGTGACAAGGCGCTATGTGAATGGGCCCTTGACCTGCAGGGGCGGGAAAGGTCCTTGTCCCCAGCTGCAGCTTCAGGGCCAGGGAGGAGCTGAAACTAGCACAGGACCCAGGGCTACAGGGCAGTGGTCACACAGACGCCCTCAATAAGAAAAGGATGTCTTCACTTGTCCAGATTTAACAGAGTTGATGCTCAGCTACCAATACAGTCAGAACAATTGTGAGGCTTCATCATGCCCACAATGCCTGCTGCCCTCATGTACGCAGTGTCCCAAACCCCAACTCCTCCAGAGCAGCAAGTAGCACAGCCAACCCCAGCTCCACCCATTGGGCCTCAGTTCCCTCATGGGTGAAAAGTGCGGTCAGTGACAACCACCTCATGAAGGTGGACCCAGAACTTGATACTGTGGCATTCTCAATAAAATGTCACTTGGTGTTTGATGATTCAAAAATACTTTCAGACTCTCATGCATAAATTTAGGTTCGCTTTTCTATTTTAAGAGGAATCTGGAGGTGACTGCCCCAGCTGAGTGCACTCCTCTTCAGCAAAGGGGCTGGAACTTAGAAAACAGCCACCAAAATTACTTCTCTCAAGAGCAGCCACACAACCGTCCCTTCCCAGTCCTCTCTCGCCCCAATCTCAGCAGAGCTCTGATGCCCGCACACCAAGAGGACGGCGTCCAGCAAGGGGAGCCCCACCTGTGGAAGGCTAGCCCACGAGAAGGTTCAATGAACATGCTCACTGGGCTTACCTGTCATAAGCTTCCTTGAGGTCCCTGGCCAGCTTGCACTTGGGCAAGATGTGATGGAATGGGGACTGGGGACCTTCATTTCCTGCAAGAATCACACACATCACAAAAGAATTTAAAGCTTCAAAAGCAAGGAAACTTTTATAGGCCAGAATAGGGAATACCTTTAAAAACTAGTTTAACTTAAAAAGAATTTTAAGTGACTTTAAACCAAACATCAGGAAACTTCTCACTTCTTTTCATAAAATCTATGCATCAATTCGAACTAAAATTAGACTTAGGCTGCTTTGTTCAGCTACCTTAATCTGGAACATTTGTATTTACACTTTACCCTGGCCCTCCCCACCTGCAGTTACAGCACCGCTGAGCAAACCATCTCGTGGGCCCCTCCCTGGGCTTCTCCCTCAGACCACCAAACCCTGTCTCTGTCTCAGCGATCAGGTGTTCCCTTGACACATCCCACTCCTGCCCATCAAATGTGTCTGCTAATGTGATTTATGATTGAAGTCTTTTGTTAATCCTTTTTCATAAGCTGAATTTTTTTACTTTCTGTGATAAAGTCACAGACTCTAAAAGAGAATGTTTAAAAAAATAAAACTTTTGGATTGTTATTATCATAATTATAATTAGTACATAATTGGCCAAAACAGAAATGTATTGCAAATTTTAGCAGCTAATTGTCAAACATAAAAAGTAAATTTTGACTGAAAATGCAGCTAAATCAGACAGGGATGTTCTTTTTTTGTTGTTAATTTACATATGACAATCAATACTTTTATTGCTAGAACAACTAGATCTGACTTCAATTTTATTCCTAGTTTTTTTGTGTTTTGTTTTTTTTTTTTTTCTTTGAGACAGAGTCTCGCTCCTTCGCTCCAGTAGGGTGCAGTGGCGTCATCGTAGCTCACAGCAACCTCAAACTCCTGGGCTCAAGTGACCCTCCTGCCTCAGCCTCCTGGGTAGGTGGACTACAGGCATGCACCACTGCACCCAGCTAAATTTTCTACTTTTAGTAGAGATGGGTCTCGCTGTTGCTCAGGCTGGTCTCAAACTCCTGACCTCAAGCGATCCTCCCACCTCGGCCTCCCAGAGTGCTAGGATTACAAGTGCTAGTTTGCTCTTTTATAATTGAGATGCTAACCAAAGAAAACAGAGCTGGAGGGTTCGTTATAGGCGTCCCTCCATGCTTTGAAATCTTGATGGCATGCCAAAAATCATACAATGATCAGCAAACATTATTTTTAATAATTGGTTAGTTGATAACTCGACTAGGTCATCCTTCAATTTGGTTAAAAGTAAAGAACTGGAAACCGCCCACCTCACCATGTGCATTTGCCCATCGGCCCCCACCTGAGTCCTCCTACCCCAGGGCAACATGTCTAGTAGGACCAGGGCCAGACAGAGGTGCCTATCTTATGTGAAGGGTAACCATAGCACGGTGTGGAGAAGAAGAAAGTTTCCAGTTGGGAAATCAATTTCAGCACATCCATCCAGGAAAGCAGATCTACTCCCCCTTGGGGAGTCTTCCTGTATCCCCCAGGCATAATCAGCCCAGAGTGAAGATAATGTATCTCTCTAAGCCTCAGTTTCCACATCTGCAAATGAGGATGATCATGGTCCACACCTCACAAAGCTGTTGTGAGGACATCCTTTCCAATGCCCAGCTCACCAAAGCTGATGCCATCACCAGCTCCTGACTTGTCTGTTGGTATTAGAGTGGGAAAGGCCCCACCAACATCTGCACGGTCGACACTAATCGGCAGCTCCTCCACAGGGACCCACACTGCAGAGAGGCCATCAGCCAGCCCAGCCCCTTCCCATCATGCCCCACTGCACTCACCATCAGCCATGGCGGACACCTCGTCCTGCAGTGCCAGTATCAGCTTGGCCTCCCGAGTGAGGTACTGGCAGCGGCGCTCCTCGTGCTGTAGTACGGTGGCGATGCGCCGGGACAGGCTATGCAGACAGTTTATCACTGACGGGTCAGCGTTTGCCTGTGGGAGAGAGGCCATACTCAGACTCAAGAGTACACACAGGGACATGGCTCAACGCAGTTGAAACGGAGCTAATACGTGTGCACAGCAAAAACTCAAAAGAAACTTTCTCCACTCTTTTTCCCCAGGCTCCCCTTCAGGGGCCACTGCTGCCCCCAGTTTCCTGAGTCCCCTCCAGTGCCCACCCACAGAAACACCGACTGCCAGCCCCTATCCTCTATTCTTAGGGATGGTCACCTGGGTGGGAGCACAGAGATGGCTCTGTGGGAGACACCCTGGGGGGGACACAGACATTTCCACTGCGCCAGGGCTGTACAGAAAGGCAGGGTGCAGCTGAGGGCACAGATCCTGCCTGCCTACCTGTTGTGGGACCACAAGTCACAGGTCCTCATCTGAGAAACACGGCAATGCACTTCCTTCACCAAGGACTAAGTGGAGGGAATTAGACACAGAAAACACTCAGAACAGAGCCTGCCCTGGGCAAAAACCCTGGAAGTGTTTGTGGTCGTCACTGCACTGTTGACTACTAGTGGACATGATCGGCCTATAATATGTAAGAATATAGCCGGGCGCAGTGGCTCATGCCTGTAATCCCAGCACTCTGGGAGGCTGAGGCGGGAGGATCGCTTGAATTCAGGAGTTCAAAACCAGCCAGAGCAAGAGCGAGACCCTGTCTCTACCAAAAATAGAAAAATCAGCCAGGCGTGGTGGTGTAAGCCTGTAGTCCTAGCTACTTGGGAGGGTGAGGAAGGAGGATCACTTGAGCCCAGGAATTTGAAGTTGCAGTGAGCTATGATGACATCACTGTACTCTAGCCTGGGCGACAGAGTGAGACTCTATCTCAAAAAAAAAAAAAAGGGTAAGAATTCAGTCACAACAGGCCACATCATTACAGGGGTGCACAGAGCAGTAACAGAAGCACTATGCTAGTTGTTCACCGAATACTTTCTGTTCTCAAGGATGAGCAGTTCTTCCCAGCAGGAACGACACTGGTTAACTAGAGAGCCAGCAGGCCCCAGGCCCATGTCCCCGCCCCAGCACTCATGCTGACCGGGTCAAAGGAGGGTGCAGGAGGCTCTCAGGAACAAGACGGGCCCTCGTCCCTCCTTATCCTATCAAGGGACAGAGAGCCAAGCAAGCGCATCTGCCAAAGCCAAGGGTGGAGCGTGCAGCTGTGGGGTCTGTGAAAGCACTTCAGGGAGCAGATAACGGGGTAAGCCATGACTCAGTGCTTCTGGAGGCCAAGAGGGCTGCTGAGTCATCTCTGGAGGTGGAGGTGGGACAAGGGACAGGGACGAATGGTGCTGCTGATTAGAAACCCTGGTGCTGCCTCCCCTCCTGTTTATCTGGCAGGCAGGGCCATGCCCAAAGGGTTCACAGCCAGACTTTTGGGCCAAAACCTGACCCAGAGAGTAAACACTTTCTTCACCTGGAGTTGGAGAGGTTTTCCACACTCTCAGCAGATCCCATGTTTACAAACAAAACTCACACCTGCGCTGACTTACAACAAAGCAGCATGCCCTCCCTCCCCCTCCTTGTCGAGGTCATCCCCTCGACAGTGTCCCCAGAACTGGAGGGCCAGTTTATAGGGTATATACAATTGCCTCAAAACAAAATACGTATTTGGAAGAATCTGTATAAAAATACACCCACCAGCAAAGCAAGGAGGAGGAGGAGAATGAATGATTATTCCCTTGAAGACGTAATCAAGTCATACCCGAGTGCCTGACCCTCTGCTGAAGGCCCCACCCCCACCCCCACCTGGTAGAGCCACCACAGTATCCCCAAGGCAGGTGTCCAGGGACCACCTGCTTGACTCTCCCAGATGTGCAAGGTGGTGCTTGCGCCAGGAGGGGCTCAATGACCTGCACTGACAGGGTGTCCTGCACATCCTGTCTGCAAAGCCTGACGCTGAGTGAGGGACAGGCTGAGAAAGCTGCCACCTAGGGTGTGCCAGCCCTAAGTGGGAATTCTTAGAAACTGCACACTTTTACCATATGTGATATGAAGCGGCATTAAGTTCAGGGCATCACCCATGAGACTTTCTCACCCCAAAATCTTGTATCCAACCAAGCCTTCAAAGTTAACTTCTAGTTTATAGGAAATACAGGGACAGAAAGCAAGACCAACTTCACAATGAGTCCAAACATGGAACATTCGATGGAAGAAAGGGTGGGGAGAGCTCTGGGCTGGCAGAGACTCCAAGCACCGGGTAGGCTGGGTTTGCATCCTGGTTCAGACAGTCTAAAAGGGAAAAATGTTTTTGTAATCAGGAAAAGTTTTAATGGACCAGGTACTAGCTGATATCAACATATCATGGCAAATTTTTTCAGATGTAAAAAATAAGTGTCCACATTTTATAGACATGCCTTCTGAAGTATGTGGGTATGAAGAGCCATGAGGTCTGGCAGTTGCCCTGAAATACAGAGAGGGTGCTGGGCACGGTGGCTCATGCCTGTAATCCTAGCACTCTGGGAGGCCGAGGCGAGCGGATGGTTTGAGCTCAGGAGTTCGATACTAGCCTAAACAAGAGTGAGATCCCGTCTCTACTAAATAAATAGAAAGAAATTAGCTGGACAACTAAAAAAATATATATATAAAATTAGCCAGGCATGGTGGTGCATGCCTGTAGTCCCAGCTACTCGGGAGGCTGAGGCAGGAGGATTGCTTGAGTCCAGGAGTTCGAGGTTGCTGTGAGCTAGGCTGACGCCATGGCACTCTAGCCCCGGCAACAGAGTGAGACTCTGTCTCAAAGAAAAAAAGAAAAAAGAAAAGAAATACAGAGAGGGGAGGAAAGATAGAGCCAGGGTGCAAAGGCAGTGGCTATGAGACCTCAGAGACAGATGCATGAGGTTTGTCAGACTGTTCTCTCTAGTTAACGATTTATTTAAAACTTCTCAAAGAAAAAAAAAGTGTACATTTTTGAATGACTACTGAAAGGAAGGAAAAAAACATGTCCACTCTAAAATACTAGCTCTTTACACTATTAAAATTTTTCTCACTCTTCCATGTCACAGCCAGCTGAAGGCCTACACCGTCTTGCTCCCTGCTGCTTTTGTCTGGCAGTGATCGACCCACACTACCCCAGGTTCTGGTCTCATCTTCATTTCTCATCCTTAATGACCAGAAGATGGGCCAGTGTGTAACAATAACCACACTGTTTAATCATTCCTCAACTACTAGACACCAGGATTATTTCCAGTTTAATTATTATGATAAAAGTCTCTATTCAGTTATAAAAGCTGCTTGTTTTCTTGATAAGATTGCTAACATGGGACTGTAGGCCTAAGGGCCTCATACAGGCTGCTGTCAGATGCTCCTCCCCAGGAAGGAGAGGCTGCCTGCAACACCCAGGCAGGGCCAGGCTGATTCTCGCCGCCCGTCCCACAGGGGTTATCAGTGCTGACAGGTGGACAGCATTCGTCATGGACTTTTTTTATTCACGTGCTTGTTTTTTACTTAATTTGTTTCTCTTCGTGGCTGTTTATATTATGTAATTATATAACAAATACAAAGATACTGAGAAAATGCAAACACCGTGAAAGTGTATCAAGCATAAAGTGAGGTTCTTCTCCTGGTACCTTATACCACAGGGATAGCCACCGTTAACAAATGATTTTGTTTTAACTTGCAGGTCTTTATTTATCAACAAGGTAACTCAGTCTTAAAAACTAAGCTCCACTTAAAAGGAGTTTTTCTCTACCATCATTTTGGTTTTGAGCCACGTATAGTGAGATGTACGGTCTCCAAACCAAATAAACCTCAATGGAAAAAACACTTGAGATGTAGAGTGGTGTCTGCTTTTGCAGGTTGTCAGAGGACACACTGTCCTTTGTCACTGAGATCTACTCAATTCCTTGCTGTCACTTTCTGCACATAAGTCACTGTGCAAATCACACGTGCCCAGCTAGAAAGAACTACTGGATTCTTTGGTGAGAACTGATAGTGAGATATTTGAGAATTCCATTTTTTAACAATCACTGAAAATAAATTTCCTATGTATTTCAAAGTCCCTTTCATAATATTAGCCAGTCCTCACCCAGCGGTGCATTTTCTGTTTATTTGGATCCCTAATGTTTTAACAGGTTTATTTAGAGCCCTTGTTTTAACAGGTTTTTAACATTTACATTTCCTAAAACAAAAAACAAAACAACAAAAACACCCAGGTATAGTTCCGATAACTAGTGAAAACAACCTCAAATAGAGCTGGGAACTGTCTTAAGAAACAACTAGGCTTAATCAGCAAAATGGAAAATAACAAGTGTTGGTGAGGATATGAAGAAATTGGAAGGTTCGTATATTGCTGGTGGGAATGTAAAATTGTGCCTCTGTGGAAAACAGCTTAGCAGTTCTCCAAAAGGTTAAACACAGAATCACCATATGACCCAAAATTTCACTCCCAGGTATATATCCAAGAGAAATAAAAACATGTGTCCACACACAAATTTGTAGACAAATGTCCACATTGGCACTGTATAATACATAATAACCAAAACATGGAAACAACTCAAGTGTCCATCAAAAGATAAATGGATAAACAAAGTGTGGTCTATCCACACAGTGGAATATTATTTGGAATAAAGTATTGATACATGCTACAACATGGATCGACCTCAAAAACATGCTAAGTGATAAGCAGGCAGACACTGCAGGTCATGTACTGTATGATCTCATTTATATGAAACATGCAGAATAAGTAAATCCACAGACACGGAAAGCAGATCAGTGGTTAAAGGAGAGAATGGAGAACTCCTGCTTTATGGGTACAGGGGTTTCCTTCTGGGGTGGTGACAACGCTCTGAATCTAGACAGTGGTGATGACGGCACAGCACTATGACTGTACCAGATGCCGTCAAACTGTACACTTTAAGATGGTAAATACTATTATGCGTATTCTACCAAAACAAAAAGAAGGAAACAAAGAGGTGGACTCTGCCTATACCCCAGGAGGCACCAGCCCACCCTGAGCTCTAAGTCAACAAACGATGCACTCACTGGAAATGAGCTGCTTTTCCCCTCGCCCTCCTCCCTGATCTAAGCCATTTATACAAATACTCACCCTCAGTGCAAATACCACATTGAAAAGAATCATGGTAGGTGCTTCCCTTTTCGGGGATGGATCTGTTTTGGAGACCTGTAAAAGAGGCACAATTCTAATAAATTGAGAGCTGTGACTTTCTAAGGAAAGCTGTTCAAAGCTATTCTACTTCAGGCATGGGAAAAGGCCCCAGAATATAGCAGAACCAGAGAAACACAGAGCCCCAGGTTCTCTGAAAAGCAACTAGTGACTTTGCTCTGGAGGAGTGCCCACTGGAGAGAGAGTCACAGATGTAGAGGGCTCAAACGGATCGAGGACCCAGACCCAAACCCCACTGCCATCCACAGTGTCTACCTGCATCCACCCAGGCTTCTATACCAGGTAGGACAAGTACTCAGAACAATTTAGACAGGACAATGCTTATGGCCAACAGAGGCCTGAGCAGGCCTTGGTGAGGCAGATCCAAGAACTTATTTCTGTGCTCCTCACTCTGGCATCCAGCCAGCTTTGGTCCCAAAACCAGGGCACTCAGAAGCAGCATCAGAACGGGCACCACAGAGCTCTTGGAAGTCAACTACAAGCGTTGCCACCAGGAGGAGTCAGAGCCACGGGCTGGCCCAGCACATATCCCCACCCATGCCAGTCGCTCCAGCTCTACAGGGCGCGACTATCAGCAAGTGGCCAGCTGTCCCCTCCATCACGCGCAGACAGAGGACTGAGCCCCAGCTGTGGGGGCCCTGGTCAGAAGGAAGGGTGCTGTCCCTGGGGCCAAACGCATGCAGCTGCCTCAGAAGCTCCTTCCGCGGGCTTATTCATGGAGGTTTGCAAGTCACACAGCAGAACCTCACACAATTTCTGCAGTGTATAAACATAGCTAAAACCTACACTGTCGCATGGAACCCTACAGAATCTGCGTAATGCCGTCACTGACCCTGCCTGCATGCAAAGAGCTGACTGGCAGGCCCTGGTGTAAAAGTCCCCTTGGCTAACAGTGTATGCCATCTTGCTAACACTCCTCAGTGCTGTGATACTCACTCATCAGGGAACACATATAGAGGTAGAGGTTTAGCACAATAATAAGTGCTAAATGATAATAATATTGGCTATTAGAATATCATTTAATAGGAAGAAATGCTTGCACCACTTTGTAGGAAGTTCACAAGTTTGACAGATGCCGGTTAACTCATTCTTTTGGCCTCCTCTGGAAATAGACATCCTACACATAAAGGGACGGATACAGCAGAGACCAGAATGCCAAGAGCAAAAGCTAGGAGAAGAGACTGATCAGATCTGCTGCCCAAAGGCTACCTTCACCAGAGCTAGCATCAGCCTCAGCCCTGAGGCCCCCACAGCTAGGATGGGCCAGGCCTACCTTCCCAGGGAGGGCCACACCTGCCCAGGGAGAGACATACCTGCCCCAGAGCATGCTGCAGTAGTGTTGGGTGCCCAACAAACCGTACGTTATCAATCTTCAGTTCAAATTTTTGGCCACACATTTCAGACTTGGTTGCCAAAATTGTTGCCAGAATAACATCTGAAAACCTTAAAGTTAAAAAAAGGTAGAGTGAAAATACGTTAACAAAGTATCACGTACCAGGCCCCACTGGCACCAGAGGGGAAGGGTCTCAGTATATGGCAGATTTATAAAGTTGCTCAGCCCCCACTGCTGACGCAAGTTCTATCAGTTGCCCTTCTGAAGCAATCCCCCAGGTTAGGGATGTAAAATCACCAGAATTACAAGGTAAAAGGAATGAGAAGCACAGACTGAAGGCACATGCTGTCATTTCTCGGCATGCTCTACGAAATTCAGGAGAGAAATAGTGGCAGTTTGCTTTCAAAAGGAGGATCAGCTAGAGCTGGCACTGCTCTGAGGAGCTGCTCCTTAAGGCTCATAGGCAGAGGGGAGTCCTCTCCCGACCATGCTCAGGTTTGCTGGGCTGCACCCTTCAACCGCCAGCCCCCTCCCCCACAATGCCATGTAAAGGGCAAGGGGACTGCGCTCAGCCATGTGTGCAAGCTGCTGACTCCCTTGCTCAAAGCATGGCTGCCTGGCCCTTCACTCATGCCAAACACCTAAATTTTCCAGATTTTATCAGGGAAGAAACTTTGTGTAAAATGTGCAGACCCACTGTGATTATAGTGACTTCCAAATGGCACAAACACAGGGTGCACATGACCGAGTGCCACGGAGCAGCGGGAACAGCTGTGGTGTGGGTGAGAGCTCACCCCTTTCTAAGGTACATCGGTGCACTATGTCTCCTTACTGCACCCCTGGTCCCTCCTGCCTGGGGGGATCCGGATAAGGGAGAGTCGCCTGCAGGGGTGCTGCGGGTGGGCGCTAGCTCTTATCTCTGAAGGCTTCTGTACTGGAAACACAGATGCACCGTGTCTGATCAGGACCTAGATGGGAGAGAAGTCCCATGCTCATCCCTCCACCCAGGAAAACTATTTCTAATATCTGAGTCAGGAGGCTCCACTGTCTTGGGAGGGCAGCTCCAGCTCCCCCAGGGCTGTATTCTGCCCCTGGGCAGGGAGACTCCTAGAAGAGACCACCGAGGAAAGATATTCCAGTGTGTGTCTGTCATGCTTCTCTCCTGGAGGCCCTCTTGGTGAGGGGCAGGGGACTAACATCATAACTCCTCCATTTAATGATGAAAAAGGAAGGTCTGCTTTGAACTGCTGCTATAGCTGCTCAACTCTGTAGTAGCAAATGATCTGGGATAACACAGATGGAGGAATAGGGCCATTTGTTCCAGGCGACCTCACACAAAGCAGGGCTGTAAGAGAACTGACCTAGACTCATCCTTGAGCAAACAGCCCAAAATGCAAGACAAGCAGCCATGGGATTCTTTCTAAGTCTACCCAGGCCAATGGGGTGCCTAGGATGGCCAAGGTCTGGGGGATCATGCTGGTTTCCAGTCTTCCTCACAGCTGGCATACCATCTTACTGTCCTAGCACACCCTAGGCCACAGACACACAGGATGCAGAGGGTGTGATCAGAACAGGCTCCTTGCCTCTCACATAGTCAGGGGGTAGAGGGACCTTCCAAAACCAACCTTGTCAGAGGCATCCTGGGAAATGCAGGACCCACAACCGAGTGTTTGGCCATCCATTGCGGGTCTCTCCTTCCCTGGAATACTACTCTCTGGAATGATTAAACCAGAGGTGGAAGATTCCAGTGTCTTAGACCACAAGCATCATATGCTTTCTTCAAATTCTAAAGGGCTCACTCTGTCCTGTAACTCCCATCTGAGGTGACATGGTGATGTTTAAGAAGGGTGTGAGGAATTAAAGCCTCACCAAACACTTCTGCTCTAGCAACTGGTCCAGTGCCAACATTTTACACACCATCTAAACAAACAGCACCCCTCCACTCTGCCACCCAGTGCCTCATGGGACGCAGAGATAACAGATAGGAAAATAACCTCCCCTACTCCAGAAACTTCACTTGTTCCTGTAATAGCCAAAAATCTCCACCAAAAACCGCTGCTCTGTCATGAAGAGCCAAAGACATGCCTCAGTCCTGTCCCTCAGGCACCGGTCCAGGGACCTAAGTTAGTTTGCTTGTGGGATGGGTCCCGGGACTCTCAGAGGCAAGCAATGGTAGCCCAGTTCACATCTACAAATACCTAAATCCCAAGGCGCCCTTGGACAGCCAAATAAAAGGCTCTTTGCTCGAGACTGCAAAGAGAACAAACTGGAAAGCCGTGCGCTGCTGAAGTTAAAAATCGCACTGCCAGATGATGTAATATTAATCATCTTAATATTATACATGTATGATGAAAAAATACTTGAGTGTCTTTATACTTTCTGTAGTGTGTCTGGTGATATAATGTGCACAAAGACAGAATTATATCATGCAATTAGGGGAGGGGGCATAACTTATAAATAGCAAATGGAACCACAAACAAGTGACAATGTTTTTTGTTTCTAAAATTTGTAAAAGTCCTTTTCCCTTTGTTTTTTGAGACAAGGTCTTGCTCTGTCACCCAGGCTGGAGTGTAGTGGCATGATCATAGCTCACTGCAGCCTCGACCTCCTGGCCTCAAGCAATCCTCCTGCCTCAGTCTCACGAGTAGCTGGAACTACAGGCAAGTGCCACCATGCCTGGATAATTTTTTAAGAAAATTTTTTGTAGAGACAGGTCTCACTATGTTGCCCAGGCTGGTCTCAAACTCCTGGCATCAAGCAGTCCTCCTATCTTAGCTTCCCAAAGTGCTGGGATTAAGGCATGAGCCACAGTACCTGGCCCTTTTCCTTTGTTTTAATGGTGAAAGGCCTGATAATGTACTACAACACAATAAAATAGCTGTTACAAAAACTAAAAAATCCCTGAATAACTTGGAAATTCAAGGAAAACACATTTAGGAAGATGAACCAACCTACCTGGAGAACAGGCCAGGACCTTCTACTCCTGATGAGCCATTCTGGAGCAGGGCTTGTTCTCTATCTTGGCCAAAAAAAGGGAAGGGAGGACAGCCTGGAAGGGAGCTCAACTCTCCCCACTCACCTCCTTGCTCGGCCTTATGGACCTGTGTGTACCTCCAAGGTCCAGAGGAGATGCCCTGTCAAGGGGACGACAGAGTCCCACCTCGCCCTGCCCTCCTGGAACAGCACCGTGTCAACTCCGTGGGAACACTTTTGCCTCTACTGGGCACATCCAATCCCATGTAAGCCTGAGTATCACGCTTAATGCCCAACCCTTGGGAGAGGCCTCCCACTAAGCCCCTCTGAAAAATGAAGACAAGGAACAATGATCACTGGTCTCCCTAGGGTGGCAGTGAGCTACGGAGACAAGAAGCCTCACTCCTGCTCACCCATGACCCTTATAAGACTACCGCTGACGACCTGGAGGAGAAGGAAGTTGGTGTGACATGCCTGGCCCCAGAAGTCTCCGTGGTGCCAGCTAACCATGCCTTGGCCTCTCAGGTAATATGACACAGCTAAGTAACTGGGCAGAGAAAGGGTAGGGCCATGGGGAAGTCCCCCTCAACTTATGCGGGGACTGGGGCAGTGAGGTCCAAGCCAGGGCCTTTGTGCCTCGTTAGTCATTCTTTAACATTGAGGGAAATCAGGAATGAAGCACAATTACAAGAAGAGAAGGCAGCAGAATCAAGACAGAAAGATGGTGGAGAGGTCTTGGTCTTACCCTGCAACCAATTGCTCATCGGTTGGAGGACATGGCTCGCTGAAATAGGAACAGGACCATCAAGACCAAACAAAAACATATTGTTTTATTTATTTTTTAAAAAAAAAACATAAAAAGTTACAAAGTTATTTTATAAAAACAGTGTTAAAGTCTAGCGGAAGTACCACTATTAAGCATTAACTGCTGGGTGTCAAGACTAAGCAACTTACTGGACAAGAAAGAGGATATATACACTCCCCATGTTGAACACTTACCATGGGGTTTTCTTACCAAAGTTCAAATTCTCACACATAAATACAGGCTGGGCAGGAAAGAGAGTCAGTTTTCAGAAGCAAGAGTAAGGCTGGAAGAGCTGGCTGAGACCCCAGCACCATACAGCTGGATGCCTGTGCACAAGTATCTAGAAAACTGGTTTCTTGGTTTCTCACCTGTGTGACAAGAAATTGTCTACATGGGATCAAATAGGACCCTCATAGGCAAAAACCTTCTGAAAACTGTAGTGTCATGTGAGTATCATCAGCCCCAATTCTTAAGATACTGTGACCGTCTGCACAGCTGACCTCCCTGAGTCTCTGCCTGGAGCAACCAAGACAGTCACAGTAGATCCATACATATCTGTGTCAGAAAACATCTGGGCTTCTTCACTATCCAACTTCCATCTTTTAGAAAGAGTGTAAGAATTTATGATCTTCTGCAGAGATTTCTGTTCTGGGACATGGTGCTTTCTATGTATCCTGAAAAGAGAAAGGGGACCTGAATCCAAGAGTGGAAACAATGTGGGAGCCCTGCCATGACACACTGCCAAAGGCCCACACGAGAGAAACACACAAGGAGGGAGCCCTCTCCTCAGCAGCTCACAAACTTTAGCTGATCGGGTTGTATAGTATTAAAGGGTTAAGTTTTGTGGACCTCCCCAAGATTGCCCAGAAAGTCAGAATCCTTGAAGCTGGAGTCTGACTCTGAGCTTTATCTCCTACAAATGGACAAGGCACAATGCAAGCCCTTTAACCTCCAAAGGAAGGAGCAAGCACACAGGGTTTCCGAGTGTCAGCCAAGTCCCACTTCCTGACAGGAGCACAGTATGGACTTGTGTCTGCCCCTCTGAGGAAGGCAAGCACTCACTGAGACATGGATGTTCCTATGGCACTGGATGGCTCTGGGAAGAAGAGGTGGAGGTGACTCGCCACCCTCAGGCATCTACATAAGACAGTGACGTGAAGGTTCGGTCTACAGCATGTGCCCACCACACTCTGTAGGATGCACAGCAAGAGTCAAACCTGAACCCCTGAGCCTGCGCCTGTCCCAGCGCACTGCCCTGCAGTGTGGATGCAATGGCTGGGCCAGGGAGAGGGTGGGGAATTTTTAAACTTGGGGACACAACTGCCACCTTCTTGTGTATCAATCCCAGCTACAGGAATGAAGGGGCATCTTCCTACCGCATCGGTGTAGGGCTATAAACACACACGACAGTAGAGGCAAGGCTGTCAAAAGAGGCCCGGTGGAGCCCCATGTGTTGCCGGCTGGAGGGTCTGCGTGCTGTGAGCTGGAGAGTGCCTGCCTGGCTCAGGACCCAACTGCACCGGCAAGCTGGACCCACTGCGGCAAGACAAGCAGCCAAGCCTGAGGGGGGCAGCAGTGTCACCAGATTCCACAGCCTCACAATGGCATTCGAGAGTTAAAAGGATGGAACTGGGAAGGTCTTCTGGATTGTGTTTAAAGTACAACGATTTCAGAGCATTTTGACAATAAAAGGCATCAGCTTTTCTCCAAGCTTCCAGCTCCCCATTCTGAGGCAGTGGCAGAGTACTGCTCGAAATCTCTGAGAGTGGGGCCAGGAGATGGCTGCCCATGTAGGGAGGGGACATATGCACATCAGCCTTGCTGACAGATACCAGGTTTTCTCTCAGACTTCTCTCGATGGCTTTTCCCCTACCACTGTGGGGGACACACGGTACATTTAAGCATGAGCTCCCCAACCCCTCACACCCAACCAACAGGAACATTACAACTTTTCTGACCTTGAATTTCAAGTTTTAGAGATACTGGACAATATCCACTTTCTTTTCTCCTTACTGAATTCTAGAAAACGGTTATAAAAAATAAGTAACAGCTAATTCCTACTCCCTGAAACACATCTTGATGATGCACCTTATAAAACCAGCCTGCTCCCTAAGCCAACACTGTACAGCAGAGCTTTGTACAATGATGGAAATATTCCAAATCTGAGCCATTTAATACAGTAGCCACTAGTCAGTCCCATGTAGCCACTGAGCACCTAAAATGTGGCTAGTGCAACTAAGGAAATGAATTTTTTATTTTATTTACTTTGAGTTAATTTCAATTTAAATAGCCACACTGGCTGGATAGTCTGCAATACTGGGCAGCACGGCTCTGCTGTCCTCACTTCTCTGAGGCAGGCCACCACCACTCAGAAGCTAATGTGTAGCCTGGTAACACTGTTTCAATCTGGCAAAGCAGGAACATTCCACCAGCTCCAGAAAGAAAAGCACCTTTGAGAACAACAATCAAGGAAGACACAGAGAATGGGCTTGACCCACCTTCACTGCCCTGTTCCAGGAAGATGCTCTGAGCTACGACAGGGCCTGGTGGGCCCGTGTGACAAAATAAAGCAGGAGGGGAGCTGGGGCCCTGAAGGTATTCACCTGTACCCTGAAAACATCGGGGGTACGCAGCAGGATGCACAGATGCTGTATGTTAAAATTACCAAATGGAGTAATCCTTAAATTTAATAAAAGAGATTCTAGAGAGAACCACTCCCCTTCCACGGTTTTCCTTCTTCGTTATGTTAGATACTAAATTAATTCCCTAGAAAACATCCTCATGGTCATTTTATTGTAAGTCTCTGAAAATTAACTGTAGGAATTAGGTACTGCCAGCCTTCCTAGGAAATCTCTCTGCAGAGACACTTCCAAGAACCCTTTCGGAGTCTTCAGCAGCCTGAGCCTCACATCCACTGGAGCTTGGGGGAAGGAGAACATGGGGGGTAGGTGGCAGCAAGTTCTGCTCTAAGCTTATCTGTGGCACAGGTAGAGGGAGGACAAGACACAGTTGTCCAGCATGAGGGGCAAAGCTTTCTATGTGCCTCTGACAAACAAGAGTTTGTCTAAGCCACCATTTTTGAAGGACAAAACAACCATAATTCTACATCAAGAAAGTCAACTCCTGGTATGTCCAACAACTCTCCCATCCCCTGCTACCCCCGCCTGCTGGTCCTTCTCCCAAAGATCACTCCCCTCAAAGGCAGTCATCGTCATCACTCATGCCAGAGGCCCCAACATCCTTACAAAAGAGGATAAAAAAATCACACTCTTAGAATTGCAAATTGTTATGGCAGGTGTGGTGCCCTGTCTGAGAACTGGAGAGAAAGAGTGCTAGTTCACTGCCCGGCAAAAGTCCATCACAGGGATCTCAGCTACTTTCTCCTGGGACAGTGGAGGTCAAGTCCCTTACCCCATGCAGACCCCATCTGTGTTTAGGGGAACCCCTCAGGCAAGTAACTTAACAATCTTTTCTCCTTTACCTAGGCCTATGTTAACATTTGCTAAGTTTTAAAATAACATCAAAAGGCAGAAATAGTCATTTCTGAAGTTTCTACCCTCACAGCACCTCCTGGAGAGAAGAGAGGGAGCAAACACTGGAAGGAACAGGACCCACCTTTCACCTGTGCCTACAAAAGCGTCCATGGTCATACCACCCCAGCTCTCAGCCCCTCCACCCGTACCACCACCTGAGCCCAGCCACTCAGAAGGGACCTAGCCAGGCTGTGCTGCACCTGAACACCTGCATTTGACCTCTAGGTACATGCTCAAGGAATTAGATCCAAGGACAACACAGGGGTCTGCTTTCTTCTATGTTCTTCTCATAGGAGATAAACACCCCACACGGACATGGCCTCATCTGTTCTCAGACCTGCTTTGACAAGCACACAGCCCAAAACTGGAACGTGTGCCCAAATTATTTCAGCAAGCCAGAGACTGGCAATGCAATCCTCAGCTCTGTACTACCTGAAAGCACCCACTAAATGGAAAAAAAAGGACACTGGATTTCTCAAAGGAGAAAACATCTGGGTCAACAGAAAGCTGGGGCTTTGCCTAGCCCTGGGACCAGGATGTGCCCCATCCTGGAGTGACCACTGAGTCCTTACCTGGAGTCGCCATCCTGGTCGTCAGTGTGGTCGCCCATGTTGTTAACAGCATATCTGCTACGTGGCTTATCTGAGCGAGGGCAAAAAGGGGAGAATGGCTAAGAAAGCATGATCCCTCCACATACAGGATTACGGAGCCGTTAAAATCCATGTTTTCTAAAAGTGGTTTACCCACACAATAGAATATAATTCAAACAGAAAAAGGAATGAACATGGATAAACCTTGAAAACATTATGCTGAGTGAAATAAGCCAGACACAAATATTGAAATATCTAGGCCGAGCACAATGGCTCACACCTATAATCCCAGCACTCCGGGAGGCCAAGGCGGGAGGATCACTTGAGGTCAGGAGTTTGAGACCAGCCTGAGCAAGGGCGAGACCCCATCTCTAGTAAAA